TTTTATTACTAGTTTTTAGTTTATAATGTTTATAATTACAAGAAGAAATCATATTTAACTAATACAGAAATTACAACAATCAATAATAACAAATAATTATAAAAGATGATTTTTTTTTGTTTACACTCTATTCTAATTTGATTTTTTTCCAACTTAATTTGCTTATTTTCAATTTTGATTCGATCGTTTTTAATTTTATGTATAAACTTCTCCTGACATTCAAGAATTTCAATCATCTCATCTACCTTTTCTTCAATCCTATAAATCTTTTCCTTGACAGAATTATCGTTTAATACTTTAGACAAGTATTCGAGAATGTCCGGACACAGATCATGTATGTTTGTCAGTAATAAATGATATTCTGATGATTTGGCCCTTCCTATAGCACTGCTCGAATAACTATCCTTTGCTGATGTAATGTAAATTCCGATTGTTGTTTGCTTATCGAATCTTGATATAACACTTTCAAAAGATCATATATAATCAACATTAACTGTGCTAGCAAGGTCTTTGCATTGAAACAATAATAAGTAATGGTTATGATTGCCAAACATGTCTATGCCACCATCATCTCTTGATAACCTATAAAAAAAAAAATAACGGTAAGTAATTGTCATCATCATCGTCAAGAAAAATGCTCTGGAGCCAATAACAGTCATTTATCCATGCATCCTATTCACCACAGACTCAGGTTCAGCTTTTCGGATAACAGACAAACAGAGAAGGATGTTCACAAGCAATTATTACTTGGCTCTTGTAACATCCCCTGTGGCCACGATGTGCTTCCAGTTTTCTGCCTATCATATCATCCTAGTGACAGCATAACTTTAGATGCATAACGATTAAACGTTCACTTAGTGATATTATTTCACCTCACCCTTTGGTAGTCAATCTTTATTTTATTTTTAAGCAACCTAAAAGCTTTAATCTCGAACCTGTCTCCTTTAGAAGAAGAAGTAATGGAAGAGTTATTAGAATACTTCATTACTGATAAGAATGATTAAAATTTTTTTAAATTTCGCACCTGATATACTATATATCTTATATTCATTTCCGAAATAAGTCTTATATATATCTTATAAAAAATGATTTAAAAAGAAAATAAACACGCACTTTTATTTACATTTGGTAATTAAAAATTCCAGAGTAAGAAAACTTATGTAGATCTACAAAATAGAGGTGAGAAGTTTATTTAATTTTTCAAAGATCATGAGTTGTGCCACATCAATTGAAAATTTAATACATTGTTCAATATTTTTGGGGTGAATGAATACTCAAAAAGATAGCCAATCAGAGAGTCAAATTTTTTTTAAAAAAAAAGTGTCAACTATTTTTATATTTTCGTTTCGTTTGTTCATTA